ACACACACACACACACACACACACACACATATGTATGCATGTATGAACGATATTTCACAAATATTGTTTATGGTTATATTGTCCCAGGTTCTATTGTTTTGTGACACTACAATTGTAACTGTAAAGTGCTCTGAGACAACTTTGTTGTGATTTGGCGCTATATAAATAAACTGAATTGAAATTGTAACAAGTCTTCTAGTACAGCTGACCTAACACACAGTGGCAAATTGTGAATTACAACAGTTTTATTTACTGTAAATGTTTAGGATTTGTCTTAATTTATACACATTGTTAAATGCCATGTAAGAATGTAAAAACAATTTAAAAAATATTTATTGTTAAAAATGACAGCACAGAGCATTTCACATTTCAAATCCAAAATGTTTTAATTTACAAAGAAGATTCAGAAAATGCATTCTTTTTAAATGTCAAACTGAAAATTTTGAACCCCAAAGTCCATTTACATAAAATTGTATGAAATGATGTCATAAAACAGCAGTTGTGCTTAATATCTGACTTACGAATAGATCATAAAATAAGTTTATTTTTTAATAATCTAATAAGGACAAATAAAACTATTGTTTCAGTTCAGCCCTTAGACAAAATAATTCAACATGTAAAAAGGTGTACCTGGAAACTGTAAAAGTATATTAATAAAAATAAAACGGCATGTCATGACAAATCAAAATAATATTCCTATTTGAAGCTTTTTTTTGCTCTTCCAGTCTTGAGTTGACACTTAAAGGATGCCACCAATATGATGAGATATTGATGTAAAAGACGAGATGAAAACATGTCAAGGCACTTTGGCATGAGTCAATCCTCAGTTCTTAAAGAAAAGATTTGATGTTTTGACAGTTGAATATTGACTCGAAAAAGAAAAAAGTGTAGGAAACACCCAAACCTCAGCCTGCGTGAACGGGTCATTAGGAGTTGTTGCTTTTGGAATGATCCGACATGATGGATGTGAATAAAAAGCGTATGGTTTAAAACCTCTGCTTTAACATGCTCTGCTTTTTTTTCTTCTTTTTTGTTGTTTTACACTTGACAAAAAATCAGTCTTTGGTCCAGTTATTCATAATGAAAACGGAGGAATGTCACTTTTTGTGACTAATATGTTGTAGCCACTCCTTCAACATCTGGAAGCTCGGGCGGGCGGCAGGATCCAGGTTCCAGCACTCTTTCATGATGTTATACACAACTTCAGGGCAGCCGTCTGGACATTCCATTTTGTAGCCCTTCTCCACACGTGGCACTACGTCTTTCAATGGCTACAAAAAGAAAAACACCAAAATTCGATTGGAAAGAACGTTCAAAAAGTTCAACACAAAACACTTCATTGTTAAATGTGTTTTCAATGTCTTTCCTGAAGCATTTATTGCAATCAAGGACCGTTACAGAGTAATTTTAACATCTAAATGTCCAACAAGATATTTCATACCATATTTTTCGTTGTATAAGTCAGTTTTTTGCATAAATTAGCATGCCTGTGGCTATACAGCAAAGCAACCGACATATTTATGTTTTTTTACCCCATATTTATAATCTAATTTTTGGCTGAGATCTGATCAGTTAATTCATTCTGACATGGAAAATATTGAACACCACCATTTTCAGCCACTACAGGGCCCTCGACTAATATGGCAAGGCAAGTGTCTCATTAATAGGTAAAAGTGGCTGTTAATGAGACACTTGGATTGCCATACCAAACCACTTTCAAGAACTCCTGGAGCAAATGTCAAATCAGCTGCATTTCGCTGCGCCGCCCAGGAGAAATGCAGCTGATTTGACCATTGAAGTGCATTTATTAAGGAAAAGTTCAACTGAGACACACCTTTACTATAGATTCAAGCAAACAAATAATTGTTTTTAAGTGTTAATCTTGTTAAATTCTTGTTAAAGTCCTCCTGTGCAGGCTCCCACGGCTGCCATTTGGCAGTCATTCGATTTTTGGCACATCAGCTCACATTTCCAGGTTGTCAGCGGTGACGCGTAATAGATGTGACGTATACGGCGAAGCAACATATTTATGTTTTTTCCCACTTTATTAGACATATTTGGACTGATGCGGCTTATACGGCGGTGCGACGTGTACGACGGCAAGTACGGTACTTACAATTCTTGGATAAGGGACTCGGCCAAAAGAGTAAATCTCCCAAAGTAAAATACCGTAGCTCCATACATCTGATTTGGTGGAAAACTTCTACAAATTCAGAGGAAAACAGAGAAGAGTTTTATTGAGCGTTGTGACAGCACATCAGCCACAATGCTCACACTGCAGTTTACCTTTTCTCTGAGCGCTTCAGGTGCGGTCCATTTCACAGGCAGTTTAGCTGTATCCTGAGTGGAAGACGCCTCTTTGGTCAAACCGAAGTCGCTGACTTTGGCAATGCTGTCGTCAGACACGAGGACGTTTCTGGCTGCTAGATCTCGGTGCACAAAGTTGTTGGCCTCCAGGTACGCCATGGCTTCACAGACGTCTCTGGATTGAGAAGAAACATCAAACTGGACTCAGGCATGTGGTGAAAAGATATATGGAAAAAAAATTAGATCACTTTTTAAACCCCACCTCTTCTCCTTCACCTTTGATGCAACGTGGAACATTGATGTTAGTTTCATTTCATTTTTATGTTTAAGTTTCTTCATTGTAAGGCTGTTCTTCCTTTGTTTTTATGGTTATATTTTATTCTTGTTTTATCTTATAAAACTAGTTATATCTCTTTTTTTTTCTTCTGCACAACACTTTGATCCTGCGGGTGTTTAAACTGCTTCGTAAATAAAGCTGGTCTGGTATGGAACAATTACAAAAATAACATTTACATTTTAAAAAGCAAAAAAGGAATTACTTTTGATGCCACTTTTAATTTAAATATTACAATTTCATTTTGCTAACTGTGATGTAAATGAACAGTTTTCTAAATGTTTTTTGTAACATTTTAACTGATTTAAAAATAAAAGCAGACAGTATTTGTAGTTGTCTGTTAGGATTTTAAGATGCTCAGTAAAAGAATCGTGAACCGATTTCCAACTTTGTGTAAAACCTGTAATCCTGTTTTCTTTAGAGTTTCATTTCTTGCCTTTCATGGGATAAGACAATCGGTCGTGCCATTTCCTGTGAGCATGTGCACGTGTTTGGCTGTTAGCAAAATATGTTGAGAATCACAAGACAGATTTTTATAAATCTATTAGAAAGTAATAAGTGGATTTATAAGCAATTGATTACCTTTTGGATCCAGTCCAAACTGATTTTAGCAAACCTCAAAATAGCAGCAACTCAGTTTGGTAGTATCTAAGAGTCCTCCCAAACACATGTACTGAGAGCTACTGCATTATTTGAGATCTTTGTTTAAATCATTGACATTATTTGTTGGAGTCAACCTTGTCTGTTTGTTAGCAAAATATCTCATGAACTATTTGACAAACTTTAACTTATCACTCACTGAATGTACAGCTATAACTGATTAACTTTTGTTGTCAACCTGATTCATGGTGGCCACCACAGCTAAACGACTTTAGCTAACACAAGAATGACTAACTGGGCAGCACGGTGGCGCAACTGGTAGAGCTGCTGCCTCTCAGCAAACAGGTCTCTGGTTCAAACCCCGGTCCAGGGGCCTTCTGGGTGGAGTTTGCATGTTCTCTCCGTGCATGTGTGGGTTTTCTCCGGGTACTCCGGTTTCCTCCCACAGACCAAAAACATGCATGTTAGGCTGATTGGTAACTCTAAAATTGTCCCTAGGTGTGAGTGAGAGAGTGAATGGTTGTTTGTCTCGTTTGTCTCTATGTGGCCCTGTGATGGACTTGCGACCCGTCCAGGGTGTACCCCGCCCCTCGCACAGTGATTGCTGGACATGGGCACCAGCGACCCCCGTGACCCAAAATGGAATAAAGGGGTAAAGAAAATGGATGGATGGATGGATGGATGGAAGAATGACTAACTAAGCCAATTTTAAAGATATTGAGCTGAAATCTGGAGTGTTCGTAGCTGACACACATTCCCAGCAAATAATCCAAGAAAGATCAAACAAGATCTTTGTTTAAAACTTTGGCATGCAGGTAAAATTAGTCTGTTTAGAATGATTTGTTCAATTAGCTTTGTAGAGATCTAGTAGAGTGCTGTATGAATGGGTAAATGAGGACACAGATTGTAGTGTAAAGCGCTTTGAGTATCTTGAAATATGATAGAAAGACGCTATATAAGTACAGTCCATTTACCATTTAAAATGTATTCCTTCAAGGAATGCAAGAAATTCTTCAAAATACTACATTAAACTCTCTTATTTTGGTCTCTGTGGTATGAATTACTCAGTGCAAACAAAATGCTAACAAATCAAAAACAACAACTGCATACACTCGCTACTTCACAGTTCATTTTTCACGGACGCGCTCTATCGCGGTTTTTCAAAATAAGATTGGACGTGACACACAACTGGCTGATTGATGGATGAGCCACACGATCGGCATGGAATTTTATTTAAACTAAATTATTTTAAATTATTTAGCACCTGCTGCACCCTTGTGCAGCCCACACTGCAAGTTTCCTGCTGCAGCTGATCAGCAGTTTTCCTGCAGAGCGGAGAAGTGGGCGTGGCCAAGAGCGCTTGCAGGTGGCAAAGAGCAGAAGAGGCAGAGAGTTGACATCATGACATGCTGTGCTCTCTTAGAACTTTAGAGTTTAGAATATTACAAGAGTGTGGGAAGGGTTTAAAATGCCTTAAAAAAAA